ATTTCCCCCTTCCCCCCCCCCCCTCCAGTTTTTGTAGAACTAATCTTTTGAGTTCTGTGAAGTTGATCTTGGCTCATGGCACACACCCCACATCTGTTTTCCTAGGCCTTACCATTTGACTCGGAATGATTGCTTTTTAACTTCATCCCCCCACTGCTACTGTCAAGTTTAAAAACAAAAGTAAACACTCCCACAACCACCAAGGCGTACCTGATGTCTGGGAAGGCACATGTCCCCTCACCTCCTGGTACTGAATAGTGAAAGGTTACTGTAAGAATGTAGACTGCTTATTTATTATTCTTTACGATGATAGGGTGTGAACTGACAGCACAGGCTAAATACAATTATTCTGTATGAGTGAGTTTTCAAAGCTCTCCTTTTGGTTTTTATCCAAAACCCATTGAAAGTACATCGTTAAAGATAAGCATACACACAGAGCAGTGGGACGTGACATATTCTTAAACTGGTCATGTTGGTTTTGCTACTTTTTGAAATCAAGGCCTGAGAAACTGCCCATCCCTGTTCTTGGGCAAACTGCCAAACACTTCCAGGAGAGCCTGACTTTGGACTAAAGACCTCACTATGTATGTCCCAAAGTGACCAGTGACTTAGCAGAACCATCCCCAGGCACTGCAAGAGACACCAAACTTTCAGGTGGAAGGTATTTGCTGATGAGTTTGGCCTCTCAAGCTTCAGACTTATCCAAATTGAAACTTTTAAAACTATTAACCCTCTTTGAAAAGGTAAGCTCTTAGCTTCTTAGCACCTTGCTGAATTTCAATTAGCGTGACTGGAAGGGAAAAATGCTCAGTTCAGTCAGGCAATGTCTACATTAGAGATAGGATGTGATCAAGCAAGCGCATGCCTATTGGGCACGTAGTCAGAAAAGCTCTGCAGATTCATGACCTTCAGTTAAATTTGGCTAGATATATTTGGGCTGGATATGCTTTCTACCATTCTGCATCTGGTAAGACAGTTAATAAATACTTCTTTCAGCATCATCTTTCCTGTGGTATTTTGCTTATTCTAATTCTGCTACTAGGCAGAACTCAGAAATGCAGGAATGCAAAAGTTAGACGGGAGGGTTTTATCTCAAGTGCAAATCAGTAAATCTGGACTGCAGTACACGTTTCCTTGGTTGTGGGAGTCAAAGCTCAGAGACCAACAGAAAAGATGAAGGCCACGGGCTAAAGGCAACTCCATGCCAGGATAACCCCTTTTCCCTGGCCCAACTCTGAGCATTGCAGAGTTCTGAGCATCTCTGCTTGGTTAACCCCAGACCAGGATGGTTAAAGAGTTGAAATAGTGACACACATCAGAAAAGAAAAAAAGAAAAAAGAGAAGGTGAAGAGAAATTTTAAATGTTGCTAGTAGGTAGTTATTCTGAAGAATGAACAATGAGGGAAATAGCTTTCACAGGGACAAACTACTATGATTTGGAAAAAAAGTAAAGTTTTTAAACTCTTGCACAGAGTAAGTGCTCAGGTTGCAATTAGGAAACGTCAGCTCAGTCAGGCATGGAGAGTGCTTTCTTGCCAATGTCCGAGTTTTGTTTTGTCTCTGGTAGTTCCACATTCTGCTTTTAAGACGCAGCGCGTGTTTGATGTTAGTGTGTCAATATATAAACCTAAATACTGTCCTGGCATATTCTGACCCTTGAAAAAAAAGGAGAAGGGCAGTTTTGCAGTTTTGTGCTTTTTTTTTTTTTTTTTTTTTTTTAAAAAAAAAAGAAAGATCAGTTTGAAGTCTAGATATAGGCTGGGTAATGAGCAGAATTTAATTGTGTCATATGATACACCATGTGAGAAGACATTTATATAGCTCGTTGGGCAGCAGGGAGCGTGTGGGCATTTACACTGCTGGCAGAACAAAGTGGAAATTTGGAATTCTGTTCCCTGGGAAAATTCCCCAGTCAGATATCCCATCTTTTTTTGCTTCCCTACAGACTCCCAAGCTCTTGGATGTGCAGAGCTGGCTGTGTCCTTCACCCTCTGGCAGGGTATGGGGAAGCCCTTCTGCAATCAGAGACCCCAGGGTAGCAAAGCCCCTCTGCTTTGGGAGATACCACAAGAGGCAGCAGTTTTTTTTTTTTTTTTTTTTTTTTTTTTTTTTACTGGCAGACTTATTGAAGATTCCTGGGTTTGGGCTGCACACTTTAAGTCATGTGACTTTTGCCATAAAACTTCACAGAGATGAACCCAAAACACTATGCTGGAAACAAAGTTTGAAAGCTGGACCAAGAGCAAGGGTCCATCTTTCTTGCTTTTGTCCCTGCACTCCTCCAGGCTGCCAGGCTTGCTGCGAGCTCTCCAGCCCATTGCAAAATGTAAGGGTAGTGTAAGGAGCTATATTAGTTCCTTATAGCTCCTTGCTAGATAAGAAATTCTGGGGTGAAGCACAATCCATTCCTTAGAGTTATTCCTGCAAGGGGCTGTGTTAAAACAAGGAAAACTATCAGGCAGAACAGCTGCATTTGAACATCTCCCTCTAGATACAATCTTGGCTGCAGCAAGGAAAAATTTGGAGACACGGCTGTTGGACTGATATTTGGGTGCATTTTAGTGCAGTGTAACACATCAGGCCTCCTTGGAGGTGAGCCCTCCTCACTCCACCTGGTTCAGAGTTCCTTGTGTCAGGAGAGCTCCAAGCCATGCTGCTACTTGTATAGACCATTCTGCTCCATCTTACTCATTCCCCTTGAAGCTCTTATATACAGTCCTTCTCCCCACACCCAAAATAAAGATCCTTGAGAAAACAGGCATCTCTTAGAACAACTAAGAGACCACAAAGCTCCCGACTTCAGAAAAATCAAGCGCAAAGTGAGAGCAACGCATTTACAGTCATCACCTGAGCTTAGCACTACACAAAAAACTAAAAGCAAGTCAGTTGAACATTGCCTTTTTAAAACTACAGATGGGCTGCATTAACCACAAAGGAAACTCAAGAAGAGCTTGTGTCTGGAAGTAATAAAAAACCATTTGCATAACATGCATGGTGCATTCAGTGCTAGCAGGAGGTGCTGGATGAAGAGTCCAACAGGTCGGGGAATCTCCTTTGTCATCAGGAGCGTAAACCCAAAAATCTTTCCCAAGAAGTGGCCTGGAAACACTCCCTTGAGGAAGAAGGTGGGTCAGTCTCCCAAGCACAGGTACCATTTCACCTTTCAGAGAGTCAACCCAGTTTCCAGGTGACCCCTGCAATGCATGACAACTGTTTTTGAGATACCAGAAATAGATAGACAGAGGAAACTCATGTGATCCAAACAACTATGAAAAGTTTTACCTCCTAAATCTGTACTGGAATTAGGGCACAGAAGTGCCCTAAGTAGTGGTACAACAACTCAGCACAGAGCACCACTGCAGGCTGAAAGCTGCATGACTCTCTGCACTGGCATGCAGGTTGCTAACAGTTTCTTTCCACCACTCTACAGTGTATCCCTCACATTTGCTGAGGTTGCAGTAAGTCCCAACTATTCCCTGCTGCAGACATTAGTCAAGTGCTGATGGCTAGAGTCAAAAGAACTTAAACAAAGCCATCCCACAAGTCATACTCATTTATCTACTGTCTCATCCCTTTTTTTCTTCAGACAATGACATGACTAAGAATGGATACATCAATGCAGTAACATATAATATCATTGAATGCCACATCCTCAGACTCTGTTGCCACGTGTAACATTAGGGCACAAACCTTCTCCTTTAACATAAATAATAATGGCCTGTGTTTTTTGGAGCGGGGAATGTGGCAGAGATTCTTGCCTTGCTGACACGCCACAGTGCTAAGCTGCTGTGGCAGGCACCAGAAGCAACAAATGTAAAGTCAAAGGCATTATAATGTAAGGAAGGGCTGGAGAAACCTAAACTGAGATGTCATAATAACATAAGCCAGAATTCATTACCCTTGTAACCAAAAAGAAACCATTGATATGCCAGTTTCCACCCATAAATAACTACAGTTGAGGCTCTGAGTTTATAAAACGTTGAATGACTTACCATATGTTGCACTGGATGGTTTTGGTCGGAAGTCCACAAAGGATGTTAGACAGCAATTTCTCCTGTTGAGACAAAAACTAAGAGGTAAAAACTGCCTTGCCAAGCCCAGAAGATAAGCACAAAGACACATTGTTTTAAATTGCAGGGGAGCAGAGTGTGCTGGAACACATAGGAACAAAGCAAATACAGACTCTTGGGGTGTTTAGACTACAGCTTGTCTGCCTTTTTCCAAGTTGGGTTGAATGAAAAAGCAATTTACAGCGAGTTCAGGATTATTGCAGACATGCCAGAGAGTCCCAGCAGCACAGTGAGTTGTTTAACCTGGGAAAGCCAGCTCATTTACAGGTAAATGTTCCAGGTGTTTACAAGGCAATGAGGAGACGTAGCTTGAACAGTGCGGTAGCCAGGAGTTGGCTCAGGACAACCAGTCCTTGTCCCTGTTTCCCCCTCACCCTCCCATATCATGTACTTATGCCCAAACCTCTTGGCAAATGGGTCCCACTGCATTTTCCTGCCTTTATCTGGGATAGCTTTATCCCTGAAGATGAGGTGCAGAAGAGCATGGTCAGCAGGAGACACCCCAGGTTTTCCCTGACCCTGTTTCTCTGCCAGGGATTTTCTTAGTTCCTGTGCCCTGAGCACCTCATTTACCACCAGAAATAGGTCTAATATCCAGGTTTTAAACTCATAATTCCCTGGACTAGAATCGACAGGCAGAGATGTGTAAGGGGCATGGAAAAACAGTTGAGACACTACAGATTCTCCATGCTGGTTGCCAAGTAGATGAATCTTATTGCCTTCCTGAGAGAGGTGCATTATCTTAGTCACAGGGGACTTTGAATAGGTCCGATTTGGAGAAGACACGAAGCTGGGAAAATGTACTGTGGCACAAGCTTTCTCACTGTGCAGAGTGATGACAGTGAGCAGAGGCTCTCAGGAAAAAGGCTGAAGTTCTCCTTTCCCAAGAGGACCCTTAGCATTTTGATTTCACTTTAGTTGGGCCATTGCAGACCACCAACCCACAGCCTCCGCAATGGGAGTGCTGCAGCTGTTGTGATAGACTATTTGTATGAAATGCACACAAACACATATTGAGTGCTATCCACTTGGTATGTCTGCAAGTATGCTTAAAAACCACTCGAACCAAAAAGAAACAGCAGGGCCTGAAGCAGTGGTGCAGAGAGGTCTGTTATGTGCTCCAAATTGCATGGCCATCATCAGTTCTCTCAATGGACCATCCTTGCGGAGAAGTGAACTAGACTTTAGTGGATCTAAGGTATCTTCCAGATCCACCCATCACCTCCACACATGGTCAGCATCCCTAATTTAGTGGTGGGGCTGGGCTAGGAAAGCACCACACAAGAGGTAGGTAGAGGTGGTCTCTACCAGTGATCGATGCCTGCTGTAGTGATGTCTGAGACTCAAGTACCTTCTGCCTTCGCATCTCTTTCCCTTTGCCTGCACAAACTGTAGGTTCTCTGGGGCATCACTTATCTTTTCTCTTCTGCACTTGCAGACAGCATTGCAACACACACCATGGGTGCCAGTATCAGCCAGCAGAGCAATAGGAGACTTTCCCTTGAAGTAGTTACTCCCAATTTATCCCAGCAATAGATCCCTCTGGGACATACCCCAGTAGATTTGCCAAGCTTGTTGAAACAAACGTGAGGGAGCTCCTCAAGGCAGGTCCCCCAGCTTCCCAGCTCTCAAACAGCTCAGTCTCACCAGCTCCTCAAGGTCTCAACCCATCGGTTAAAAGGCAGGAGGGGAGCAAACAGCCTTCGCTTTGTGTCACATGGAGGGCTGAGAAAATTTGGAAGACAAATTATTCAAAATAAAAAGCAGTGCAAAAACAGATTAGGAAACTACTGTGCCGTGACTATTAATGAAGCGATAGAAAATATCAATCACTCCCCAGCCTCTGAAGCTTGCTGTGAGAGAAGAATTAGGAGATTTTATGTTCCAAGTACCAGGAAACCGCAGGGCCCTGGTGCCTAGTTCTCAAAAGAACACTGTTTGAATCACAGGGAGGAAAGCAGAGTGCTGCAAAGAGAGCCAAAGGCAGAGTTTAAAAATAGCAGCTTTCAGTTTTATTTCTTTTTTCTTCTTCTTAAGCGCCTGGATACAAGATCATGTCAGAGGGTGGATAAAGAGAGCAGACCATCCCCTGTGGAGCGAGAAGTCTTCCTGAATACCATACTGCTGGTCAGAGGGCTGTGGGCTGTCAGAGGGCTATGGTTGCTGGGCACTCCAGCCCCCCTCCAAAGGAACTAGTTTCTCCTGATCCTGTTGTTCCCCCCACCCCAAAGAAGGGCACCGAGGGAGTGGGAACTGGGCAGCCTAACTAGCCCATCAGTGCATGCAGGAGCCAGCACAAATAAGCAAAGCTAAGGGCTAAATGGGTGATCAAGCCTGAACCATCCCCTTCTGGACACACGCAGGGCCGATTTCCCACACCATTAAGGATACTTTCGAATGCTGTGCAAGGAATGAGATTTACTAACATATTTGTGCCAAGGCTCTGGGTCTGTGAGCAGGGAGAAATCATATCTGGCGGCTGTACGCTGACAAAAGTGCTAAACCAAGAGAAAAGAGATCAGAGTTCTGATGCTGCTCAGATTTTTCCATCCCCTCAGATCCTGCACTATGCACCACTTGAAAAACCACCAGGACAGATTCACAGCACCTACCAGAGCAAACAAACGTAGAAGTCAGATGTTGGTACCTTAGACAGGCAAAGGAGACAGTGCAGTATCTCCTGATATGGATAGTAAAGCTTTAGGTCATGCAGTAGAGTACTAGTGATTGCTTTAAGGCAGAAATGGGCAGGATCTGCAGAAAGTAATGAGATCTTCTCATCACAATAATGGAAAACCAGACATGTCTTTAGGCAGCTGAAAGAAGGTAAACTCCTTCCTTGCAGGGAGGCAGGATGCCCCCTTGGGCCTTTGCTCTATCTGTGGAAAAAGAAGGAAGGTACAGCTGATGCTCTGGATAAGCCTGTCTGCATCTGACTCCCCAGGGAAGTCTTGGTTGTGTTATAACTCATTGCTCAGAGGATGTTCTCAAATCTAGAGACGAATAATCCATGTAATAAGGACAGAAAGTGCAGGGAACCACATAAAATACCTTTTCCCAATTAGCAAGCATACACACAATCCCTTTTCCCCAGCCAGCTCGGGGACAAAACAATCCAGTTTTTTACTGTTATAAGCTAGGATTCAGATGGAAGGCAGAGCGAAAAGAAACATTGGCTCTGTCAGTTGGTTAATAGAAGTACCTAAATCACTTAAACTTCTGCCAATATATTGTGGGGTTGTCTCCTGTCACTGGCAAGGGCTTCTGGCCTCCAGTGTAGAGAGTGACCAACTAGCACACAAATCACACAACATTCACAAAAATTAAAATAAAGTTTAAAAGCAAAACCCTAGTACTGATAATTATGCTGAATGAGTCCTAAAGGAACATTTTAACTTTACAAATATGCAAAAAAATACCAAACATCTGGAATCTGAAGTATTTTCTTGTAAAAAAGGAAATTCACTGGAATGGCATCTGTTCCTGTTGTTATTTGAGATAGACAGCTGACACAACCAACTGGAGTCCAGTGACTTGTATGTCACAGAGCTTTTTATTCCCTGGACCTGCGTGGCTTTTCATTCACGTGGCTCATAAAGTGGCTTAGGAACCCAGTAGTGCCATGGGCCTATGTAATTGCCTTGTCACATGCACAGACTGATAAGCAGAAAACCTCAAAAAGCTGCTTGCTGTCCTTCTAAAGGACCAAGCCAGAATGTACTAGGAACAAATCTAGTGGTGCAGTGTCCTGCCCTCCAAGTAGGTCTGAAAACTTTAATCACGTGAGAAAGTCTTTAAAGCACAACCTCAGTTCCAGCTCCTCCAGTGATCCCCTCCCTCCTGTTTAGCACTGCAGGTACAAAAAGCTCTTTTAGCCCAGCTGGCCTGGGATTCTCCCTTGCTCAGCTTTTGGTGAAGATTACTATGATTGCTGACAAAAGCAGTGTATGAATGCCTTGTAATACAACCCTAATGGCAGAAGATCTGTCACCAAATTGCCACTCCAGGGACTTTCTTGTAGTTCTGTGCCTATGAGAGAAACGAGCTGGTTGGGACGTGGCAAAACTGGCATCCTGATACAGGGATGCAATTCAGAACAGGGACTTCAAACAATATTCCCCTCTCTTAAATATAGACATAGCAGCAAATTGGAAAAACAGGTGGTTTTTCCTTTGAGCAGAATATATACAAGGGAGCATTAAAAAAAGCCAGGGCCAAGATAAATTAACCTGACTAACTACAGTAATGTTACTATAAAGTACAGGCAACATGAAGCACTGCATTTTCTCCTTTGTGACTGGGAAGACAAATTTGCCATCAAGCTTCTTTTGGAGAACAGCGGGGGAGGGCTCAAAGCAACATTCTGCTGCACGTTCAGCTACTATTGCACCCTCCTAGCACAGACCCCAGGACTTTCTTGTACTTTTTAGTCCTCAGCAGTTGCAAAGTACCAACAAACACACATACTCATGCCTGGGGAGCTGTCTGGTTTTCAGCTGAAAGACTTCAAAAGGTTTCACAAAGGCCAAAATGAAAAAGCATTTGGATGTTTCCTAGACAAGACTTTGTTGTTTCTGTTTTGCAGGAAGTGCTGACGCTTTAAAGACAACCAACCAGCCACACTCATTGAGAAATGGCACAAGACATCTCCGAGTTTGTCTCTGCCAATGCTTTGACCTCGCCACAGCGACCAGCCAGAACTTGCTGGAGAGCTCTCAATACTGGGGAAAATCATGGCATTCTACTATCTCTCATCCAAAGCAATACACGAACACATTGTACTTCTGGAACAATTCTGGCCTTGGCTGCATTTTGGGGGCTATAAAGGCAGACAACAGTGGAGAGGAGCACATGAGAAAAGTAGTGGAAAGTTGGCAGTAAAGATGGATGCCTTTTTTCCAGAGTCCAGTATAGCTGCTACAAGGAACAAGCCATGCATAAGGAATGCTGCATCATGCTCACACTTCCCAGGTATGCCCTGGATTGAAATCCTGACGAATTTCTGTACCCCTTAGTGCTTGCTGCAGAGTAGGCTGTCTTGGAGTTCTAGAGACCAAAGGTACTTCTGATAGAATGATGCTGTTAGGATACATTGCGATACTCTAGCACAACTAGAAACATAATAGTTTTCCAAGAACTATTTCACTTCATGGAAAGGATGCATCTGTAAACATGCACTTTGTTATGAGTCGGGGGTGGAAAAAGCCAAGACCATCTCCTCACACATCCAGTGTGAGTGTCTATGTAACTCAATAGTTTGTAAGCCTAGGGCAAGATGGTGCATGTCTCTCCTGAGGCAGAAAGCAAAAAGGCCTTTCAAGGAAATTGCACTTAACTTTTCCTTGCAACTTCTCCATGTATCTGAATTACAATCAAGGGCTAGACTGAAGTAGCCTTATATATTCTGATCAGGAATCCTCCATAAACAATCTTACTGAAGCCACAGATTTTTCTGAGCTCAGGTTTGATCAGACTCCTGCTGCCAAACAGCCAGCTTTCTAATATCTGCTGTGACAAATATATGGATATGGAAGATGGATATGGAAGAACTACACGTCTCAAATTTCCTTTCTCTGCATGAAGAGCCTTATCTAGGACATTTAAAATACCCTTGTCAAAGAATAAAAGTTCCAGTGGAATCATGTTAAGAACGAATTTGCATTGAGAGCAAAGACATGGGTGTCCCACAGAGAAAAGCAGTTCAGTCGTGTTTTGTCACATGAGAGTTCACACATGCCCCAGCCTGGTGCCAGGAAAACCAGTGGCAAAAGTCTTTTCTGCAGTATGATCCGAACTGCTGGGCCTGCTAATGGCGGCAGACCTGGCTGTCTTACCAGCTCCCCAGATCATGCTTTCCTTCTTTGTTCATCAGATATTTGAAGCAGCAGTATCTCACTCCCCTCCTGTTTTCAAGAGAAAAATCCCCTTGAGAAGCCTTCTCTGTTCTCTTCCCACTTACACCTCCAGCTGTTTTTTGCTTTTGCGTTACTAGTTCTGTGCAAATCCAGGTCAACTATGAAAATAACATCCTGGCAAAAGGCGCAGGCAACAAAGGGAATCAAGGCAGGGACTAGGAGAGGAAAGGCATGGTGAAAAAGCCAGACAATTGCATACTGAATTAATGTTATTTATTCCATTTAGTGGAGTATGGAGTACACTTAATCATCACAGCATTTTAGATCAGAGCTGGCATCAACAGCTCAGCTCTAAAAGTATATTTTATAGAAAACATAGAGGTGGATTGAGTAGCTGGAAGTGAAGAGAGTGTGAATGTGTGAAATACAGCAGATTTGGTAATAATAAAGTTATATGGCCTTGGTTGTTCATTCGGATACTACTGCTCCAGCAACACTTTGTCTAAGGAAAGCATAAGCAAGTCCCCAAAGATAAGCTTGGGTTGGAGCTTGTATAGGATCTGGATGCACTTAACTTTTCTTTTTGTAAAACATTAATTATTTTTAAAGCCAAAAAAGTATCTGCTAAACCAAAAAAGAAAACGCCATGGAGAATTCTGAGCCACTCTTTTTTTTGTGAAAAATGTAAATAAAATAATAAAAAGATCTGAAGACAAAAAAATATATGCTGACACAACTGTCCGAAAGCAGGTTTTTTAATTTTTTTTTTTTAAACCTAGAGTGGCCAACTATTTTTCCAGACATCAACACTGAAAATTAAAGAATTTTTTTCACCAAGGTTTAGCAGTAGGAACGCTACCTTTTGAAATGTAGGGATTAAAATATGAAAGAGTTACAACAGGATACCCAAGGTATCTCCCTCTCATTATTCTTTCATTTTTCTGCTTCCTAATTTTGGGCTCTCCGATTGCCCTATTTTACAGCCATTTGAAGAAATGGCTCCCCAGGCATCATGCAAGAATCAGCGTTTTTCCCCATCACTCAGCAGGAACACCCTATCACTACTTAGGTACATTTCTCAACCCCAATCACTTCCAATTGCTGTGGGTTCTAAAATTCAGTCTACTGGAGAAAGAAATAACTGGTCTGCCATTTCCTGGAACTCCGATTTCCATGCCTTTCATGGAGCAATTTTATTGACTTCACAGGAGCCTATCTGGATTTACACCTGTGTAAAAATTAGGCAAGAAAACCTGACCCTGGGTGTGGAATATCAAGTTCATAAATGTGTTTTGTATCTCCAAGAATCTCCCCATCTACAAAGGTGAGCAGCTGTTGCTATAAATCAGACCGTCTTAACCAGCCATTAGAATTTCATCCAGATGATCCGTTAAAAATATACAAGGGCAACGTTTTGGAAATAAAAATCTACCCTTATGTCCTCAGGGACACCTTCTGTTGAGGAAAAAAAAATCTCATAATTCAAAGCTAAAATTAGTTCACTTTAATGCTTTTTCAGGAGAGCCATGATACTCAAGAGTAACATCACCTTGAAAAGGCCTGTTAGATGACTTAAGGGATCCTAAACATCTGGCAGCTTGGTACATACTGCATTGGAGACATCTAGTGTCTTTTTCAACTTCTCCGTGGGTGTGACTCTTCCCTGTTAGCTAGAATGGCTGTATCTGGTTCAGTTCCTATCAACCATTTTCTCTATTTGAGTAGGAAACACTCGCAAAAGCATGGAAACAGCTGGCAGAGTTGGCTGTAGCTTGTATTAACAAAACACACTCCTGTTTCTGACCACAGACTGGCCTTTAAGTTCCGACCGTGATTGCCAAGGGATGAGACCACATCACTCAAGATGTACAAGTTGGCTGCGTTAAGGGTTGGTTCTCAGAGCATAAAGCTGCCAGGAGCGATAAAGCTTTGTGTAAGTAGAGGGGAGCAGGATGAGCAGCCCCATTTTATTAGCTGGGAAACTAAGATACAGGAAGATTAAATTATTGGCCTCTGGTCATTTCCCAGTGAGAGAAAGAGTGCCATATATTCCTTTCTGAGGGAAATGTGCTAGTTAAGGCAGAACAATATGCAAGTCTTAGCATGACTTACACACTCAGCAGCAGCGTAAGTCCAACCAGGGCAGAGCTGCAGGACTGAACTTCCTGCTGTTGGGGACGGTGATCATCCAGGGTCACTTTGGCACCCAGCTTCCCTAGGACACTAGGAAGCCCACATCATCTCCTGTTCATTAATAACTCTTAGCTCTTCGAGTACGTAGCACACGGCTCTTGCTCTCACACATACCAAGAGCATAAAACACAGCTCAAAGGGGCAAGAATGGTTGGTCAGCCCTGGACTGACCACAGAAAGATCACCTATTCCCAAAGCAGCAGTTTCCTCTACCTTCATCAAGTCACTGCTTAGTCCTGAAGGGGAAGGCCAAGTAATGCATCACTGTTCTGTTAGGCTTTGTCATTTGTCTAAGAGTACTGGAGAGTTAGACATAACATGAACGTGGAAAAACCAGTGAAACACAGACAGAGCTCTACCTTGAACCTCCAGACAGTCATACAGAGTAACAAGCTCAGCTTCTTTCACTCAATTCCTTATGTTCTTCTGAGACCATGAAAAGGAACTTTATGATATGCTGGAATGGATGAAGTATTAACTATCAAAAACTAGACTAAAGTAACCAAGAGCCTGGATTATTTTCTCTTTGATGTATGCTTATGTAAATTCAAATAAATATGTTTAAATTCAACCTTTCTTCAATTCTAGCAGAGCTTATTAAATCTATTTAAGTGAGACAAGCTAGGCTCCATGTAACACCAGGAACTCCCCTGACAGTTTGCCTTCCTACTTAATGCAATACTCTAAGATTACACATACCAGAGCCTTTCATTCAAGCATTTTCATTTACAAATACTTTTTACATTTTTTAACACCCCTGTGGGCAGGCATCAAGAGTCCACTTTATTCAAGAGTAATCAATCGAAGTGCGGAGAGGCAGCCTGTTTTGCTCCACATCATGCCCTGAAATACTAGCAGAGTTTGGAAAACTCCTCCCTTGTCCCCCCTTGGTAGTCACGCTGAAACACAATTTCCATTAACAGCAGATACATTCTCTTAATGCTGGGCCAAATGCTCTGAGCAGAGATAGGAAGCAATCTGAGACTAACCTTCCCCAGAATCAGCCACAATGAGGATACCCATCACTCTTTCTTTGCTAAGTTCACTTACCAGCAAGCGCTGCTCTCTTTGGTGCAAATCTATCAGCAATTTCCTCCGTGCCTCTCTTCAGAGCCAAGTATTTTCTAGAGGAGAAAAAGGCATTACTAAATGGCATCAACTCAGTCTTATGTTTTCTCAGACATTGTATAAACCACACACTTGCACACAATCCTTCAGAAAGACCGGCAACCCATTGCTCAGGCTTATTGTGTAATTATACACGAGGAAGCCCCTGCCCTCTCTGGGTGCGGAGAGCACCTACAGCTTTGCACAAGAATTACCCATGAGAGACTGTTCATGAGGCACCACTGGAGAGGTCAAATGAGCTAAATGAGGACCAGCTCTCCTGGTTTAATGCCACAGAGCACCAACAGCCCCTAGGCATTAGAGAAAAAATCCACCTACCTTATCTTTGCTTGGATTTTATGAGACAGTGACCTGGCTGCAGCAAGGACAGAAGATAAAACCCAGGGTGCAGGTTGTATCTGTAGGAAGTGATCCAGGCTGCAGCAGTGAGAGCTGGGAGAGAAGCAGCCCTGGGGATGGCTTAGAGTGAGCCTTGCACCAGCATTTATGTTTGCAGGCTGTTCTTGACGTGTTTTAGTGGGATAAACCAAGAACTGCCATCCCTCCATGTAAATAAAGGGATTTGTCATAAAGCTAACAGATCCTGCTCTTAAGTAGTTCCCAAGAATATGAAGTGACAATGAGGTGCCTATGAAAATAACTTTTCCACTGCCTGGGAAAAACCACTCCTAGGGCAGTAACTTCACAGCTGTGATCAATACAGGCTTTGAAAGAAAACAGGGGCCTGAAAGACAGTGTATGGTCTGAAAAAGGACAACAAAGACAACAAATAAAACTGAGGTACTTTTTTTAAAGGTCTGTGTCTTACCTTCAATTATCAGCTTAAAGCCAAGTTACTGGAATGGTTCCAGCCAGCCAGTTGTTCTCTGGGAATCTTGTACACACCTGGCAAACACAGGGAGCAGTAAACTGGTGCTTGTAGCCTTTTGCCCACCCAGGATATCATCCTGACAGGCTGGGTCCGTCAAATGTTTCCAAAACATCTTCAGGTGCCACTCTCTGTCTGCCACCTCACTGCAAAAGGCAATTGGGACTTTTTTTCCCCACAGAGAATTTTTACAGCTGTATTGTGCCCAAAAGGTTGGAGCAGAGAAACACGAGTCTGTGAGCTCCAAAACCCCCGGGTTCTACAGGAGGCATGATGTGCCACCAGGTTTGAACCTCTGACACCTCCCACTGTTACCCTTTTGGACACACCATGTTCTTCTAGTATTTCCCCCATCCTTTCCCATGAAGAACAAAGGGGCTCACGTCTGACAGTTGCTCCACACAGATCACTAGGTGTGATCATGGAGTCCAGTGATGGAAATGATTTACCCAATGGGTCAGTCCCACTTTTCTGCAGTGGGCCCTGCCTACCAGCTTTCTCTGTTACTGACTGTGGCGAGTTGGGCAGAAAACAGCTGTTGCTTTTCAAGAGCTGTGTTCCACAAAACCAAAGTTATTACAGTCAGAAAACAAGCGAGCTCAGTTCATGAAGAAATACGCTGACTGCTCTTCCCACTTTGTGTCACTCCACTGACCAGGGCAATTGCACTGAAGGTGGACTCATCCATCTGGGGGAAAACAAGGCTTCCTTCAAATCCTCTTTTATTTACTCCAGTCAGCTGTGTTGAGCGTATCGATTCAATCAGCTATTTCCTTAACCATAAAACCAGATGTGCGCCGTCACGGCCCATCTACAGGGACTGAATCCATGCCATTTAGAAAATGCAGAATAAAAATAAAAAATCCCAAGAAAGCTGAGATATGCTGATGTTTGGAGCTCTCAGAGTTTCCTAGGTAAATTGCTTTTCTTTTGAGTCCCATTTATTTTTGTTACCTCCAAAGAAATGCTGTTTTAGCCACATTTCTTGGACACAGTGTTGAGATCTAATGGGTTGTTACTGATGTGAATTCTCAGGGGAGAGGCTGGAGAATAGAGGGAATGTAGCATTATCTTTGCTTCTGGGCATCAGTGACTTCTGCAAGCAATGTGGTGCAGTACATATCACTTTGCTGAAGCAATTAATTACCTTGGTCCCCAATGAGAAGAACTATTCAACTTAAAAAAACACCGCAGCCCTTTAGACTTAGGTTAGCTTCTGAGCATCTGGGTAGATGTGTGAATTAAGGAGGCTGTATTGCTCAGGTTTGCTCTGTTTCTTTTCAGACCACGTTCTCTTGTTTTCCACTGTACTTCTTCTGGACACCGCCACCTCAGGCAGGTCAGTGCACCAGTTCCTCTTTGCAAAGAGCCATCTACGAAATGTGGCCTGGCTTCATCTCAGCTTTGAGTACCAGGTACCAGGTCTCCAGGTCACCTATTCTCCAAAAAAGTCTATGGAGCAGAGGAAAGGAAGAACCCCCATGGAGGCTTGTGATGAGTTCTCCATGCCCAAAACACAACAGGTCCACACAGACAAAGACTCATTTCTGACTGCATTGCTCTTGATTGCCACCACAGGATGATGTAGCTGTGAAATACCATAAATATCATGAGTAGGGAGCCAATTAGAACGTGAGACTGACCTGCGTTACTGAGTAGGCTGCAGAGTCTCTGAGTTGGTCCACCCTGAGGTCCGAGTTGCAAAGGCAGAGTCAAAAGCAATTCACTGAATATCTTAGAAGATGAGTGATTAAAATTCAGGAATTACTGAGTAGCACTCAGACAAGCCATATTCTAATGCCTACCTAAACAGTATCTGTCCCATGTACGTAACAGCTCTGTGTCCAGTCCTGTGTCATTTTAAAGTTGCCTGGAAAAAAACCCAAGCCATAGAGGACAAATACGGTGTTACAGACAACAAACACTCAAGAGACAAAGTGTAAACCCATCTCTAATAGCTGAGTACTCTCAGTCTCTGGGGAAAGACCACTGCCATATACTTCTGGTGTAAGGTGATTCTCCAGACCTCACAAGAGTTGGTGGGGGTCTTCCATTGATATAATGATAATGCCTTCATGTAATTAAGCACTGCTAATTAAAACCAAAAGTAAGACAACATTTTCCAAAAATTATTTGCTATTTTCCCCCCTTAAAAGAGTCGTCTGATATCTAAAGAGTGGAGCTCCACGTGGGCATGGGCACACACATAAATTAGTCTAGAAGTAGCTTGTGTCCCTGTTATAACTGTTATAGTTGCAGAGAGAAATAAGTCAACAGCAGCAAGAAGCTTTGGAAACATACACAGCCAAATGTTGGGTTTAAAAGCAGGAAAATGTCACATGTACTGTTCTGCTCCTGACCTGTACTTTACACTGTACTATTTTGTGTGTTCTTTCTCTTCCCCAGAGCAGACAGAAACCAGATCTTAAAACATTCACAATGAATTTTCAAATCAATAACATGTGAGACTTTGTCTAAAAGGTAAAGTTGTTGTAAAAATCAATGTCAGAGAGAATTCTTTGCCAATTCAATTATACTTGTTCCTCTCAAACAGGAAAAAAAAAAAAAGAAGAGAAAAGAGAAAAGAAAAAAAGAAGTGGGCTTATTTCAAGCCCAATAAATGTTCCTTGGACTAACATCCTGATTTTGTAAATATTCTCAGGGCTTCTTATGCCAGCTCCCCTCAAGGGGTCATAATTAACTCTAAATGGGGTTACCTTGTTTCAGAATCAGTCTAATGTCAAGCAGTGTTTCTGCCTGCATCCACAATTTTAAAATAATGTTGTGTCCATTAGATGGCATGAAGGCTTCCCAGAAATGGGAACCATACGTCAAAATTTAAACTCAAATAAGTGTGATTAGACATGGCAGCTGTCTAGAAAATATTCAGCTATTTCACCGAGTTTTGGGCAAAATATGAATGATTGTACCCATTCCAGTAAGTGCAGAACCAGAAAGGCTCCCACATTACCCTCTGCTTCTCAAGGCAAGTTTCATTTTAAGATTGACCCTAAGGAAAAAGAAAACAGCTAGATAAAAGTATAAACAGCTGTGCTCCTGCTGGCTCAGCTGGAGACTTCAAGGAGTTAGTGAATCACTCAAAGACAAGCAGCATACAGCACCCAGCCAAACTGCTGAATCCAGGCCACTGTGGAAAGGGCTGAATGGCACAGCAAAATCAAGACACAGCTGTGGTGTCACAGAGGTCCACAGACCACAAGATTTCCTCACTGGGCATGATCTCTCTCTATTCCATACTACCTGGTATGCACCAACCTCTTTCAAGCTGCACATGGAGTGAAAGTATTTTTTTGGACAATAATAATCTTTTTGATCTACATTTGTAGAGGATAGTTTTGAACCGTGACTCGCATTGCTGGAAGCTGCTTCAACACAATAATACAGACAGAAATCCTCTGATCTGGGTTTGCATTTCTGGCCTTGGCATGGACAAGGCATGGACGTGTCACCTCTGTACCTTATGGACAGGAAACACCCGCCTGCCTGGCAGGGCTGACATCAGGGTCTTTCTGTGGTGCTGAGCCTGAAAATTCTTTAACTGCAAAGGGACAAGAAGCCCAAACGTAGCAGTAGATAACACTGTCGTACACTCATGCACACCCTAAGTGTTCACCATGTGCAGTTTAATTCCAGACCCTCCCTCTCTACCAGAACCAAGACATGGCAACATCCTCGTATCCAGTTATAATGCTTGCCACGTCCCAGTTCTTGTCAATAAACAGTCAATAATCCTCCCATTACCGAAAGAAAATGACCAGGAAGTAAATACCAGAAAAGCCAAACTCTGAATGACCCTGTCCTCTCTCATATGACAGAAATCTCTTTCTTACAAATATACGAAATACAAAATCAGTTACAGAAACACCCTGGAAATCTGTACTTAGTTATCTTGAAACTAAACCATGCCAGGAATTTGGGTAAGTTTTTGCTTAAAGACTATAATTATTGGCACTTGATCAGATACAGATAAGTTAGTTTCCAGCTTGTAAAGAGAATAATGCAAAAGGAATTGGAATAGATTAACTTCACATGTTTCATTTCAGGACAGGTAGTTTTTTTTAAGCACTAAAGAAACATTAATATAAATCTGTGTTATAATAGCGCTGTAATTTATAAGAAAGTTTTAAAGCATCCAGTCCATGAGTTTTTGCAATATTTAGAAGGGTTTTTTCAGTGTGGTATCAAGTGAGTAAGATTCAGAAGTCGCTGAGCATGCATTTATTACTGTTTCTGCCAAATACTTGATTACATTCCTTGGTTTGTCCCCCAAAAAGAGAGGAATAGAGTTCAAAGGTATATTTTGTAACTTTTTAAGACTCACATTTCTAATTATGTTTTCAATAAAGGTTACTGTAATACCAATCCCAAACACAACTGGGGCTTGTCTGTGCCTCTCCATGGAGTGCTTGCACTGAAGTATTTACTGTCCTTGTAGAGGAAAGGACTAAGGGCAGAAGCACTCCTTGCATTTCACAAGGTGAAATGTGACAGGGAGATTCAATGCTTTATCCAAGATCCTGTGGGTACCTTTTGCAAAGCGTGGAATATAACCTTGGAATCCCTTCGGCCTTGATCCACATCCTTAAACGTGGCATCTGTTGCACAAGAATGATATAGATGGGTCTCCTTGGAGGAGAAGTGATTGTTCCCTGCAGATGTTCCTGACAAGACAGCAGTCTGTATCCTATCTCTGTATGGTTCCAGGGCTGTCTTACAGCTGATGTATAGGAAGTATGAAGCTGTTGGTCATTTTCCTGCTGTGGAAGAGGACAGCAACTGTGAGCAAGAAGTAGAAATCAGGAAGCAGATAATTGCATGTGACCATGAAAAACAGCAGTTGGTTTCCAGAGGAGGGTATGAACAGCACAGAAGCATGTTTTGAAAGGATGTGGCTATTTGGAGTAATGTGATAGATTCTGAAGGAAAAACATCTTTGCTTTTTGGAATAGATGTCAAAAACCAGCTCAGGCACTAACAATTATTACTGGCACAGCTAATCACATAGGACTGTGCATTTCAACAGA